CCAACGTGTATGGATCCCTCCCCGGGGCTTCTCCCTGCATTCTCATACCACCCTTCAGAGTTGTAACATTAACATGTATTTATTTTTAACAAGGGGCTTCTAGGAGTCCTCTCCAGAATACTCCTGGGGAATCTGAATACAGAAGATAAAACACTTGGACAGAACCAAGGACTTCAACTGCCCTTTCAATTTAGGGTATTCGTGCTTGGGTATTCCCATTTACTTCATACAACGTTGTCCAATTAAAAAGAATTATTGGAATTATTAGATGAAAAGACATGCTTGCATATTTTTTTACAGCATATAAGTGCTCTGAATGGGCCTACTTTAGAGATCCCTTGCCTGTCTTATGCAAAATGATTCTCTGGATAAAGAAAGTTTGGACCTAGAAGCAGTGGTGTAATCCTCTGAAGTCTGCTACCGGTTCGGTGAGTCTGCTACCGAGTGCGTGCTTTGCGCATGCATGCGTGTTCACATAGCACTAAGAAAAGAACATGTCAAAGCCTTCCGAGTCTGCAAAGATAAGTAGAACAGCAAGAAAGCAAGAAAACTGGTGATTCTAGCTAATAGAAATGGCGCATCACAGCTGATCGTCACCCAACAGATCGTCAGAAATACCAGTTTGCCTGAACCGGTAGCGTTTTTTACTACTGATTCAGGCGAAATGGTACAAACCGGTAGCATTTCACCCCTGCCTTGAAGAGAACTTTCTTTTGTCCTCTGTATTAAGATGAAGCAAGAAAAATGACAAATAGCAATTGGGTAGGATTAAATAAAGTCCAAAGTCTGGTTTTGCTTTTAAATACCATGCCTGAATTCTTCTCTGCATCCAACAGAGAGTCAGGGGCATTTGTAGTTAACTATGTTAAAAGCTTTCTCTGTGCAAAGAAAAGCCCTAGCCCCTTTGCCATGCCCAAGTGAACAGAAATTAGTAACTAAAGCTCAGAAGCTGAAACCTTCCACAAAGGACCAAGGGCTCATTGTATGCCTCCGAAATGATGTCTCCCACTCGCCCTGACACAAACCTTTCCATCTTTTCTCAGCCTCTCCAGCTGCATCTCATATACAGAGCTCCTCTCGTCAAAGGTGAAGTCATCACTCTCATAAAAAAAGCTGCTTTCTGCCTTGGAGGACGCCATGGCTTGCTGTGCTCCTGTTGCAGTTGCTAGGCAATGGCTTAACCAAAAAAAAAAAAAAAGACCCCAAGGAGCTGGAGATTGCTTGCCCCATCCCCCATACCAACACAGCACGGCCTGAAGCAGACAGCTATGTGAGAATAGGCACAGCACGGGTTCACCAGGTTGCACAGGTAAGTTAATGAGTTCAAATTCATTCCTCCCGCCCTGCTCCCGGGAAACAGGAGGTGACAGTCTTTTCACAAAGCCTAGATTAATAGCAGTCTTCCAAGAAGAGATGAGACAAGCCTGCAAAGGAATGCAAATGGCATCTAAATCACTCCTTCCCAGCCTGGTGACTTTCGGATGTACTGGATTTCAATTTTCCAAATTTTATGCTGGTGTTATCTCTGGCTGTGCTGGATGGGATGAACGGAGTTGAGGGCCAGCATCTCTAGAGGCACCAGATCAAATAAAGGCACTCTAAATCAAGTGCCCAAATTTTCCAGCCAGCATGACCACTGTGAAGAATAGTGGGAGATGAAGACCTCCCACCTAGAAACTGCTGTAAATGAACATTTAGATTACAACTTCTTAAAAGGCTGAGGGTGCAATATGTACTCTTGAGGAATGATTTCACCTTAAGCCATTGGGTTCTCTAGGTCAGGGATTCCCACTCAAATTTGGCAATTTTAAGGCATGTGGACTTCAAACTCCCAGAATTTTCCAGCCAGCCACACTTTGGCTGGGGAATTCTGAAAGTTGAGATCCACACATCTTAAAGTTATCAAGATTGGGAATCCTTGCTCTAGACTGTATTACTACTCAGGATACGATGCCTCTTGAGTTTCAACATTCTCTCTCCTTTTGAGTTGCTATTCTCTACCCCTCACCAAGAAATAATTTCAAAAGAACTGTTGGTTTGTGAAGCCGTATTTATTCCCGTATGTGTTTTAATGAATTCCTTTATGAAGAGATCTGTAATATAAAATGCCAATCATGAGCTTCTTTCCTTGAGCGAGTGGCATAAATTACATAATGAAATGACACAAATTAACCGAAATGCTTACGGGAATAATCAGAGTCCTAATACAATGGCTGTTTTGTGTTTTCTTGTGCTTCAATAGCTACTTAGGTTCCTTTTTCTTTTCTTTTTATCTATTCCCCACCCTTTACACTCCGCTATAATTGCCCTCCTTTTAAATCATAGATGTTCTACACCCTGCCGGATCCCAAAAACGTTATCCCCATTCTCCTTAACAATATTGAGGACTTTGCTATGTACATACTTTCTTCTATGCCTTGAACTTCTGTGACAGTCATCTGTTTCCTTTTTCTTCCTTTGCTTTCTACCCTTCCCATGTTCTTGTTCTCTACTATCATCTTCTTAAGTATGAATAAAGTATGCTACATAAAGCACAGTTTGCTTTGTCTTTCTTACATTAATCACCCCCAAATTTACCTCTTCCAATTTTCTATCCCATATCTTCAAATATGTCTCTGGAATATCCAATTGGATAGAAGTTGTAGGTGCTTCATAACTGGAGTTTTTTTTTTTAAAAAAAAAGACAGGACAGACATCTATCTGAAGCGGTATAGGGTCTCCTGCTTGAGCAGGGGTTGAACTAGAAGACCTCCAAGGTCCCAAGTTCTATTCAGATTGATTGATGGACATTTGTTCCTGATGTTCATTATACTTATTTGATGTCAACAATATTAGGCACTCTAGAAATGTCCAAGCTTTTTCTTGGCTCCTCCTCTATCACCTTTGCTTTTCATATTTAATCTATTCACAATAATGGGAAAAACAGCACCTTTTATGTTTCCTGTGAAGAAAATTCTAGTTATCTGTATTGGTCACAGAAGGTGGCAGGATCAACGCAATCTTGGCTGTCATAAAAAAGTGAAGCTGGATCAGACTGGGCTGGCATTTGGATGGATGACTACCAGAAAATTTGAGGTAGGTAAGCTAGACTATAAAAAAGTTAGCTTTGATTACCATCAACAGGTAGAAGAAAATGAACAGTGTTATTCAACATGTTTTTTCTGTGAATATTTTTAAACACTGGAGGAGTCCAGGATGCTGCCCTAATGTTCATTTTCAGCCAACACAACAAGAACAAATTTATCCCACATCTCTTGGAGAATAGACATCTCCCGAATTAGCCTTCCCATTTGCTGCACTGATTCCCAAAGCTGTTAATGCTCACCCTTCGTTTTAAGTATTTTTTAAAAAAACAAATAAACACAAAGTTTTGCAGAAAATATAAACACTGGGATGATTGCATAGAGCAATGTTTAGATTCTTTATCCTTTCTATACCTTGGTACCAAAATAAATGCTGTTACAAAGCAGCATATCCTTTCAAAAGTTCCCAGTTAAAACTGCAGAATAAATAATTTAATATCTTCCCCCATGTTTCTCTTCCCCCCATTTTTAACATCTTGGTCTACAAGATCCCTGCTGCATCCATACATCCAGGCTAAACAGGTTCATCAGCACCATTTGGATTTAGTAACTTTTGTCTGAACAAACCAATAGAAAGCAAACAGTGTCCAAGCTTTCTATCAATTGGCAGAGCTTCTTCAAAGGCCTGAGAAGTTATAAGCACCAAAGGTTGACATGATTCTGCTGTTTCAGGTAGAGCTGCTAGGCATTTCAGAAGCTGGATTCTGGTACTATTATCCTCCTGCCCAAGGATGCTGTATGATACCTTGCCCGCTGGAAGGTGCCACAGGAAATGCCCTCTAAAGGGAGTGGTGTCATAGAGGCCTGCAAGGTCCCATTGTTTGCCTTGCAGAGAGTAGTTGACCTGTTCAGTAACCAGTCATTCCTTCCCTTGCTGTTGCAGCTGCTCTGAGCGCGCTTAATGTCCACCTCAGAACGGGAGATCCGTCCATTGGACAGCCCCTCTGTGGATCTGGGATTCAGGGCATTGTTTGTCCTGCTGCCAGGGATTATATTTAATGTTCCATTGGAGAAGGATGCCTGAGAGGAGGCTGTAGAAGATGTCATAACAGCATGTCTGGGAGACTCACTGTGTCGCTTGGGATCCTTTCGCAAAAACCCAACTCTGAAGACTGCCAACTTCCCCTCTGATTGTTTCTCATTCTCTGGCTCCTTCTCCCTAAGCCAGGGCCCAGTCTTTTGTTCTGCATCCCCCCGGCTGGAAGAGGTCACACTTGAACCAATGCGCAGGGTCCCATTGATATTAGCTTTGGTCTTAGGTTCTTCATCTTTTACTGGAGGTACCGTGCTGAGAGATAGGACCAGTTTTTTGGGTGTCCGTGGCTGCTCGCCTGTTTCTTCCTTTGGCTTCACTACCCGTTTCAGAGTATTTAAATTTTCCATAGCAGTGGCTGTTTTGCAACTGGTCTCAGTTGGACCCATGCTTGTCAGAGCAGGATTAGCTTTGGTGACCGTAAGCTCATTGTCTTCCCCTTCCTTAGTTATGAGAGGGACAATGGATTCCTTTGTGAACCAAGGTCTGCGGCCAGACTCTAGATAGTCTACAAGCTCCCTGGAGGGCTCTGATGGCCAATCTTTGGAGGTGAAGGACCACCGCAAGGGTAAGGTCTTGGGGATGCCCAGCTTGGCCTTATTAGAAGAAGCTTTCAGGCTGACACTTCTGCCCTGCACACCCCGAACCAATGGACGAGACTCGAATCCTCCTAGAATAGAAAAGAACATAGACAGTAATGGCAGCAATTCCTAGGGAGTTCTGTGGAAATAAAATAGAGTGTTTTGAAAGCCGAATTCAAATTAATTTTAACAAAACATTAACAACCATCTTGGCAAAACATCTATTTCTGAAGCTAAGAAAGCTTTATGAACCCCCCACATGTTGTACAATTCAGATTTTAGTCCAAGTCAGATATTCCCCCTCCCTTCTTCTCAAATCTATTTCTTTCATTTTTAGTCTTTTTTTTAAAAAAAAATTCAAATGCTATTTTCCTAGCATATAGTATAGTGGCAAAGGAGATATATCCCATCTGTTTGCTGCTAATACCAAAGCCCAAGTATAAAAAAACAAAAACAAAAAGAGAGACGGACTGATGGAAATAATAAAAATTTTCTGATTTGGGGTAAATTATTTATTTTCATCCACACTGTGATTCCACAGTGACTCCAGAAGGCAATGGGAACAGAGCTTTCCCATAACTCAAAAGTATATTATTAGAGTGGCCCTGGAAATTATTACTTATTTTAATTTGACTACACTCACCACGAGTGTCTGAGAATCATTTGGGTATGTTATGGGGGCTAGTGAAAGGTGCACTAAAAAGAAAACCTACAGAATCTAGTTTCTGTAACTAGAACAGAAGTTGGTTGCTCTCAGTTTGAACCGGTTCAGGTGAACTGGTAGTGGTAATTGGGCCTGGGTCACTTTACCCGTAGTGATGGCTGGCTGGCAATGCCCACGAACTGGCCCGCTTGGATGCTCGTCCTGTCTCAACTTTGCCATGTGCATCCACAGAACTTCCTCCTCCAGCCTACACACAGGTAAGCATTCCCGCTAGCCTAGCCCCCCCTTCCCATAGACCAGGAAGTGTGGGGAGCCTCCCGCGTGTTGCACGCACCTCCCCCTCTCAACCTTCGTCTGTGCCTCCGTGCCGGCCAGCGTCTCCCAAAGCCGCCGCTGTTGCAGCCTCGATGGAGACAAAGGCAGTCCAGCAAGCTGGGCACCTGAAAACAGCGCAGAGGCGCAGGCAAAAGCTGGGAGGTGGGGTGCAACATGCAGGGGGCTCCCCGCAGTTCCTCCGCTCCTCTTCCATCCTCAGCTGTAGCAAAGAAGCAGTGGCCCTGGGTGCACTGCGCCTGCTTTGTTCTCTTTGTGAGCTGCTTTGCAAACAAAGTGCAAAGCAGCCCCCGCTCGGATCCATGGATGGGAGAGCGGCGGTGGCTCCTCCCATCTTGTTCCATGTGCACTTCCTCCCCCCAGGCTGCATCCCAGGTTAGCTGGACACCTAGCCGGGAAAGTAGAGAGCGGTAAGGGAAGTGAGTCCTGAGCCAGCATCCCTGCCTCCTTCCTCTGAGAGCCAGCTTGAGGAATGGCCAGCCTCCCCTGCCTCTGCGCCCTTGTCTTGCCGCCCATGTGGAGCTTTTGCCAGAGGGGTGCCTCCTGTGTCAGGGCCAGGCCAAGCTGGCTGGGCCTGGTGCCAGCGGGGACCCTGCTGAAAAGTTGCTCTTCCATGCTCGGCTGTTGCGAAGAAGCGCTGGCTCTGGCTTCTTTTTTGTTTCATTCTCAAGTTCCTCTCCTCCCCTCGCTCGGCTGCTACCACCAGAGTGCTGCCAGGGCAAGCAGTGTGTGTGTGTGTGTGTGTGTGTGTGTGTGTGTGTGTGTGTGTGTGTGTAGGGGGGACCAAGGACCATTCGGAGCTGAGGAAGAAGCACTCGTGGCAGCAGGGAAAGTGAGGCTTCTTTGTCAGCCTCCCAGCTGGCAAAACAGACATTTTCGCTGGTTCGGTGGGCGTGGCTGGGTGGGAGGGCATGTGATTGAGTGGGCGTGTGCATGAGTGACATCAAGTTGGCCATGCCCACTCAGACTCCTGCCCCCCCCCCCAGCCATGCCCACAGAACTGGTAGTAAAAAAATTTAGAACCCACCACTGAATTAGAACTATATTGCTTTTTGGGGCAGGATGATGCCCATACTTCTAGACTTAAGGAAAGGAAGCAGTCCAAAGATCTGGAACCTTGCCAAAATTACCCAATGTTCTGATAGATGAGCTTTGTTCATACATGGCTTTGGGGAAAGTAAAGGTAATAAGCAAGCCAGGATACCTTTCTCCTGGCTGGTAGGAGAGTGACTGAGGAGCGTAGGAGAGTGAGATGATTTTGGCAGAGATGGACAGGTTGTTGAGCTCCAGGACACCAGGCTCTCTCGTTTGCTGCTTCGACTGAGCCGTGTCAGCCAATGCTCTGAAATGGAAGAGCTTGTAGATCCTACAAGAAAAATATATGCAAGTGTTGTGGAGAGAATATTTTCCTCTGCATTGTGTGCTAAACTGAAAGGGATGGGGAGGAAATAATTCCATTTGCCTATGTGTGTGTGTACATACATATAGATGTGTGTGTGTGTGTGTGTGTGTGTGTGTGTGTGTGTGTGTGTGTGTATTATTACACACACACACGGTCTTATTTTCTTTTGGGCACCAAAATAAGCACTAGGGCTTATTTTTGGAGGGTGTCTTAATTTTTTTTTTCTATGTACAGGAGCCCCACTTCTGCTTGCTCATGGTGGGGCAGGAGGCGGTGAACCAGTGCTGCCACCACAAGGCAAGGCAGGGGGGTGGAGCTGTCCCAACCTCTCTGTACCATCTTACCTCAGGGCCCCTGCAACCAGGCCACACACACCCCAACATCTGCATGGTGCAGCAGGAGCCCACATTACTGCTGGCTCACTTCTGCTTGCTTGCGGCTGCTATGGAGCAGGAGTCTGAGCGACACACTGGTCCCAGGGTCACGAAGCGAGGTGGGGGTTGAGCAACTTACCTCAGGGCCCCCACAGCCAGGCCATCCACACCTTGACACCTGCCTCGTCTCTCGGCTGCAATGCATTTCATACCTCCTGCTCTATTGCGGCCGTGGGTGCACATGGCTGCAGGTGTTGGGCTATGGATGACTTGGCTACAGGGGCCCTGAGGTAAGTTGATGTGGGACGCCTGGGATAGCTCCACCACTACCCCACCTCGCCTCGTGGCCCTGCGAGCAACCAGACAGAATGGGCGGGGTGGCTGGCTGTGCAGGCTCTTAAATGGGTCTTATTTCGGGGGTAGGATTTATATTAGGCACATATGTAAAATACATGCTAGGTCTTATTTTCAGGAAAGGTCTCATTTTCAGAGAAACAGGGTGTATATATAGACACCCTGAAAGACAATGATTGAATATCCTTCTATCCTCCATTCCACGAACAAACATATTGCTATGGGAAGTGATAATCTTTTTCCTTCAAGTACAAGTTGCCTTCAACTTTTATTATAAACCACCTAGAGTCATGCATGTGACATGCCGCACAAATCAAATCAAATCAATAAAAATAAAATACCACATGTTAGAAGTAACGAAAGAGCTTCTCTTGATTATCCAAATCTTCTTGGAGAAGAGTTGGGAATATATATTGTATATTACAGACAAACCAAAGATAGTTTGCAAGTAGTTACTTTAAATTATATATGGGCCAGGTTTCTATCAGGATGACTTTCAGGATTGAACTTTAAAAGACAAGGCAGGAATTATTTATCATGTCTAGGTATGTCTCACTATCATCAGTAAATGATATAGAATTCAACCAATGCATAGAAAATAAGGGGTGGGCCAAGAAACCCTTGCAAACCTCTAACAGAGCTTCCTTCAGGCCAGCTTGGAACTACATTCCGTCTCTGATAGAAAAGGATGTAGGCACCACGTGTGCTGATGTCCTCTTCCATGACTGGTTCTACGGTGCTGTCATCATAGCTGTACCAGCGGCCGTCCAAGCTGTTGCAACAATAAGCTAGAGACAAGAGGGAGGACCATATTGGCCGACACATTGGAAAGTGAACTGAGCTTCTAAACTTTTCTCTAACTTGGCAGTGGTACAAAATTCACAACAACCACCTCACCAGTGTATTAAATGCTTAACTCCTCTGCTTATAGAGAGGGAAGGAAGTCAGGAGGAAACATTGCTAGAAAGTAGCAACATTGTTCTGTGAAGGTTAATGTGATTGAAACAAGATTTGGAAATTCTCAACTCCTACTAATGGGTTATTTGTATTTACAGGTATTGCCAAATGTTTGGCATTTGAGCCTTTTTGGATTTGAAACATTTCCTATAAAGTTCAAAACAGTTTTCTGACATTTGAAACAAACTGTTCTGCATTTGAGACAGGCTGTTTTGATAACCATGAAAGTCTTTTGAGCTTGAAACCTAGCTGATTCAAGTTAAAAGCCCTTCCAAAATGATAGAAACAGCCTGCCTCAAATGGGGAACAGCTGCTGGAAACAGCTGTTTTGAATCCAAACTCAAAGAAGTTTGAAGTGGAATGTTTGCATATCACTACTTGTATCTCATATGTTCTTAAGTGTCCCATACAAGAACATCTTTGCTAAGTGCACTATTCAGCAACATTTCTTAAAGTAATGTGAAATTAGACAGCTCAGAAATGAAAAACAGGGCTGCTGAGACCTCAAACGTGCCAAATTGTTCCTTGTTCCTCTCCAGCCATTCAGAAGCAAAATATATGCAAACTTCCACAATTTTCCTTAATGCTTCATTTTACACAATTATTCATTTCGCCATGCAGAATTCAGAAGTCACACCCTTTTATGCTTAGGTCAAGTGAGGAGGGGGGGACACCTAAGGAGAGGTGGAGTGAACCCCAATTCATTACCTTTCACCCAGAGTTCCCAGAGATATCGCAGTCACAGTCTCTGTCTGCTTACTGAAAACTCACCTGTATAATGTCCACCGTGCAGACTCCCATGATGATTGCAGACAGCATACAGATCATAGAGAAAATTACACTGGCCCTCTTCTGGTAGGGGTTGCCTCCAGGGGCCCCACTTGCTGCCACGGCTGCGCTTGGCCACATGGGGAGCCATATCAAGCCCTCGCAGGGGGAAGTGCACTAGAGTGGAGAGCTTGTGGCGCTGCTCTCCCACCTGCCGGAAGCGTTTCAAGTGAATGATGAGGATATCAGGGAGTGTCCACAGGCTGAGTTTGACCATGCCTTGTTGAAGGACCTGGCAGTGGGGACAGCGCCAGGCATCATCTGGAGCCAGCTGCAAAGGAAGATGCGGTACAACTACACAGGAGCCTGGGATTGAATGGCCCAATTGAGAGGAGCTGTCTATCCCCACCTCTTCCAGAATCCCATTAGGTATATTGGCCATGAGCAGGAAAAGAGCCAAGCAGATGGACATTCCATTCCTGCTCAGAAACACCTTGCCTTGTGGCAGAGATGGTCTTATTTTTGTATATTTTTTATATAA